GTTGGTTGCTGTTCGAAACATGTTTCTTATAAGCGCCCTTTTCGTGTGAGAGGGGTGAGAGGAGAGGTAATGAACCAAGATATTTTTACTACTTGGCTTTCGGTACCACTTTGTAATGTAGCCATTTTCTGATAGGTGAATTTGTACGTTCAAAAATGGAAGCCATTTTTCTTTCGGCTTTTCTCGGGTGAACTTGATATACTCTGACTGTGCGTTTAACAATTCGAAGCATTTGTCCATTTCCTCTTGTGTTGAGCAAAGGACAAAACAGTCGTCTACATACCTACAGTAGAGTAGCGGCCCGAGATCAGTCACCGGTGCTTCCACCTTAGACATAAATGCAATGGCAAGGCTTGGAGCCAGTCGTTGTCCCATTGCCAACCCTCTTATTGCAGGTGTCTTTGATTGTTGATCATTGATATAGGTGGGAGCTTCGGATTCCATCTCTCATTTGCGAGATACGATATAGTCCTAGCATCGTTCCTGCAACTTCGCGTTCCATAACTCTGAGTGACTTTTCAGCGACCAGGTTTCTGACGAATGTATTAAGACACGGACAATAGTGGAGTCGAAAAGCTAACGCAGAGTCAGTTGTTTGGTTTACTCCTTGCTACGTCTTCAATGCTCTTGGAAGCTCCCCACGCTGCTCGTTTCCTCCTCAACTCTGGAAGTAAGTCGTTCATTATTTTGGCTTCTTGACTAAGATAGGGGTAGCTGAAGCATTCAGAGGTATTCATTCCGCTAAATGTGAATGAAGCATACGAACCCAGCCTATTCAACATCGTTCTTACATGATCTAGTCGAAGACTAATTTTTCCGCAGACGTTATCAAAGCCGGCAAGCACTCGTTCCGCTAGGGCAATGCTTGGTAGAAAGAACTATGTCATCATTAAAGCGAAAATGGTGTAATTGTCGACCATCGATTTTCACTTCCCATGTTGTCCCATTCGAATGTTCGCATGACGTTATCCATAGTAGCGGTGAATAATTTTTACGACATGGCATCGTCTAGCCTAACCGCTCTTTTGACATCAATGTTACCAGTCTTTCGACGACGCCTTATCTTTCTGCGTTTACGGACTTGCTGGTTTTTTTTGAGAATAAACAGTAGTTTGCTGATAATTAGAAGGCTTTGTGGGCCGTGAGCATGAAAGGACTGCCAAAAACACTTTGATCTACCTTCTATAGGTATCAGTTATATTTATGGTGCTATTCATTACATGTTTCTATGGTCCACCGTCAATATTTTTTATACCCGCGCATTCTATGCGATAACTCTCATTCACTATGGTAATTAGAATTAAGATAGAAGTCGATAGTACCCAAATTTCTAGTTAGGGAGATCGTTGGGAAAGCTGTTTTTTGTGCTGAGGGCCTGATCGATAGAATTAGCTGAGAGACAGGCGAAACGAATGGCCCGCATTGTGTGGTGGTGAACGCTTTAGCCTTCGGAAAGGGTAATAGCACGTTCGTTCCCCACCGCAAATATCTGCGGTCCGGAGTTTTGCAAATATCTCAGCAACTTTGTGGTTGCATTTCGTTTCGTTGTGGTTGGGTCACACATAATAACCTGCCGTGAAAAAACTATAATAGCCGGTAAATAAAAAGTTAGCACTGTTTTTTGTATCTTTCCAAATTCATAATGGAGCTTTACCCGAAAAACACCCAATATCAGATCTGTGTTCAATAAGATGTAGCAAAAGTGTGGAAAAATAGTTCTATGTGTTGCAGTAAACCACCCGAAAGAAAACGAAGCTTTTACGGGTCTTAAAAACCATTCCCTCAGTACATTATGTCACCTATATGTGTCACTTGACGTGAGAGAGCTAATATCATTATAGAAAGGTGATATTTCGGTTGTGAGATTTTCATGTAGCTCATGACGAATAGCTGTATCCTGAACGGAGACACCCTGGCTATTCAGGGTTTCTATGACTGCTTCTATCCGAACAGAGTGAAAAAGTTTCCATAAATCGATGAGGGTATGCAAGAGCGGTCTCTTGTACTCCAGTGAATCTTGTTGTCGTGTGGATGAGGTCCATCGTACTGGATCCTTTTCGAAGCCCTGCTTGTTCACATGGCTGTCCTTCGTCCAGTGTCAGTCCTGTTTAGGACGATTTGAGCGATGTCCCTGTTGCGTGCAAGATTTGGCCAGTGGGTTCTTCAAACTATAGGGACCCGTTGAGCATCACATTTTTCTTCTAAGGTTTTCACGATGACCCCTGATCATCAGGCCGGTTGTCTTCTTGAAGTAGGTTTGATATCTCGAGGAATACAGTGAATAACGGCTCTTTTCCATTGGTTGTCGTTCACACCCATTATGTGTCTGACCCACTTTATTTTCGACAGTTTGACGTATAGAACAGCATCCTTGATTTCTGATCGTTGACGCAGGTGGAAACTTCGGATCTCTTCCATCACTTGTGCGACACGGGATACTCTTAGAGTCGTCCTTTCGACTGTGGGTTCAATAACGCTGAGTGGTCTTTCATCCTGCTTACGCAGCGACCATGTTTCCGATGCATTCGTTAAGGCAGGTCTTTTGACGTCGATTTTAATATCGTTGTAGAATGGTGATATCTTAGTTGTGAAATTTGTATACAGTTCACCAAGAATCCTTACATACTTAGTAAGGATTTCCTGACTTCCAGGATTTCCACGACGGCTTCTATCTCTACTGAGTCAAAAGCTTTCTTTAAATCGATGGAGGTGAGGCAGAGCGGTCTTTTGTGCTCTGGCGATACTTTAATGAGCTTTGTTATCGTGTGGATGTGGTCCGTGGTACTAAATCCTTTTCGAAACCCTGCTTGCTCACATGGCTGTCCTTCGTCCAGTGTTCTGTCAATCCTGTTTAGGATGACTCGAGTGAAAAGTGTGTGGACGACAGGCAGCAAGAATATTGGACGATAGCTGTTGATATCGTGTAGGCCATCTTTCCTTAACAATAGCACGGTCTTTTTGGTCTTCCATTGCGTAGGAAGCTTGCATTTTGACAGGTATCGTGTGAAGTACAGGGCCACTGTGTTTATGAGGGCTGGCGAGAGGTTCTTCAAGTGTTCAGATCTTATCCTGTTCGGACCTGGTGTTGTTTGATTTTTCACCGACGAAATAACATATCGGATTTCGGAAAGGAAAACCATTTGTACAACATACCTATTATCTTTGTTTCATGTTATGGCTGCTGAAGAGATCCGAGTGGTATGGCTGCATCTCCATACTCACTTTTCTTAGGCTAATTTTGCACCTAAAATGTTAAAGGGATATCATATGTTAACGTAGCAGTTCGTTAGCACAACAGTATCGAGAGTTCTACTAGAAATTACCACCTGTTTCATCTGTCCTCCCCTTGGTTGTCCACTGATTCGAGCGAGCGCTAGTAAATCTTCTGATCTCAATGTGTCAGTGTTCTATATTTTAATGACGAGCTTACTACCTATCTGCTACCAAACCGGTAATCTCAGGAGTTTAAAATCTTCATCTGCATCTACTCTTACAAGATTAAAATAAAGCCAAAACAAAGGCTACATTTAGAAAATTATTACTCAGTAAAACACAGATTGTCTGAGACAAGCTGACTGCCTCTAGTTCATATAAGAATGCCCTAGCAGGGGTACCTCAGGTTTCCAGGAGAAATCAACCTGACTAGCATTTAAGGGCATTCCTGACGAAGATGAAAGAAACCACAAGCGGCAGTTGAACCTACATGCAAAGTTCGAAGACTTTCGTAGATTATCGATTACAGGAAGCAAATCGAATGCGGGAAGCCCTAGAATCCGCACCGTATATGTTAAAAAATTGTTCCCTGTTCCTTTAATGGCTTACTCTACCACCATATCCAGAGAATGTTTCTGGATGACCAGCTGCAATTTACTGCGAGACTCGCTCCTCCGACATCGCCATTCAAGCCGAACTATCAGAGATTTCCATCGAGAAGCCGAGGGAGGTGTGAACGTGTGCCACCACGAAGCTCAGAAAGGTGTCAGTGTTTTAGTAGAAAGAACAAGCCTCATACCAAGGGTGTAATATTCCTCATGTTGATATATTTATTTATGTGATCTTATAAACTGATCTTCTTAAGCTGACGCGAGGTTGGTACAGATCTCCGTTGTCGTTGTCGTTGTCGTTGTCGTTGTTTTTGATGTTATTGATCGATGGCTGACGTTTCGGCGACTTCGCCTTCCTCAGAGTCTGGACGTACTTTATGTTAGAATACTTTTTATTATTCGGTGGAAAAGAAGGTTAAAGTATTAATGAAGATCAAACTTTCAAATAGACGCCATATTGAACAGAAAGGTCACTCACGTGATGTTACGTGCGGGACTGGCCCACGCGTAGTTCACGTGGGGTCGCGAGCGAGGCACATCCAGGGGTCGAAATATCATCTCGAAATAGGGCGAGTAAAATAGCAAAATTAATATTAATACTTTAACCTTCTTTTCCACCGAATAATAAAAAGTATTCTAACATAAAGTACGTCCAGGCTCTGAGGAAGGCGAAGTCGAAAGTCGAAGTCGATTTTACTGGTGATTCGTTCAGAATATTAAGGTGATTAACTGGAATAAAGAGCCGTATGACTGTTCTAAAATGTTCATTCAGTTTAACACAAAACAACAAAAAGTGAGAGCAGATGATCAGAGTAGATGGTAATATTGCACACAGTTGATAATGTGTTAAGTTAAAGGATAAAGGTCCATAGAGTTTTTATCTACAAAGGTTACTGTAAGAAGTAGTAATAATGAAGCAATTATTGCCATTAATAAAGCCATACACGTCGATATTCACATTTACAATGTTAATTTGTAAGTACAACAAATGTGTTAGTGTGAATTCAAATTCTTACAGTATCTTCAGAAAAGAACGAGGGAAATCTTACGATCTACGGAAGACCAAATAAGGTACTTAAGTATAGATTTAAAGTAAAGGCTGTATGCACTACCCTGATATTTTTTCTGGGGCTAGTAGAAACTTTCCCTGGTCTGTGTGAATTTCAGCCTAACTGATCATGTCTTCATATTATTCACGAGGACTGTATTCCTTTGCGAGCTGGTGGGGGCGAAAGGTAATTGTGGTAACGTGTTACAAAAATCATTAGCAGTAATCACAGACGGTGCGGCTATCATTGGCATATTTGAATGAAGCGAAGACGGACCGATTTGATGGTGAAGGGTAAGTGGAGCCTAAAATACATTTCTAAGCTATGTTTGCACAAATGAAGTTTGCTTATGTGAACTAGTCTCAGTTGGCATGCAAAACGTTAATGATGAGAGAAGACAGCATATCGTCAACGACTTGCATCCAAGCCAACATAGGAACATCATCATCACCATAGATGTTGGTTTTTAGTAGATGGTGAGTCAATTGCAAGAAATATGGTGCCTCTGCGGCATATGAAAACGAGCCATCTAGGAATGTAGAAGTAAACAAGTATACACTATAGTACGCTCCTGTCAATGATCTCTAGCTCCATCGTGGGAGGTGCAACGTTCCTTAGTGCGATGCTGCGATGTGTAATAGGGTTTCATCTTCTCATAAGAGTATCTAAAATTAGGAGTTAGATATCTCTATCTGAAAGTCGAACTACGAGTATGCCAGGAGTCGCCATCGTTCTGGAGGAATCCTAGCTGCAAGTCTATAAACCGCCTTTTCAACCCACAGTGCTCAGCAGCTGCCTCCCTATTGTAATGAATGGCAATGCTTCTGCTGTGCTATGTCGCGTTTCCAACGTTTCTTTGTGCAGTACACCGGTGTAGCTCTCTTTCCTAACTGTAACACCTATTTTATTCTCAGCCAACTTTGTCACCTGTACGGATTTCCCATTAATAGGTCACCACAAGTCTGCTAAAATTTAGAAAGGTTTTAAACCGTGTTCCACGTATTCTTTTTTAGCATCCTTAACACTTACCTTAACTGGTGCTAACACCAATGCTCGCAGATGACCTGTCTCATTTTTCAGTTGTTCGAGTTCAGCTCTCAGTTTGATGTTCTCTTGTTCGAGAGTTGCAGCCCGACAAGCCAGATCGTCTTCCTCAACATAAACATCATTGTAGTTCGAAAACAGTGGTATCCTCTCTTTTAAACATTGGATGCACCGTATGGTGAGTAGTTGAAAGCGTCTATTCAACATAAGCTAGTGTAATAAAGTCTAAAATGTTTCTTAAGTCTGAAAAAACCGTTCCACTATCTATTATTGCATACTGAATTGGTTTATACACAGAAGTCGTCCAAGGATCTCCCTCATATAGGGATCTCGAGCCGGTTTGTCGCGAAACTACGCGGCGCGTCTCCGGGTGGTGGGATAGAGGGCTGATCGCGAAATAAAAGCGACTTTTGCTTTCCTGAGACGCAGAAGGATCTAGGCGATGGACACTCTGTTTCCGCTGCGCCGATTTGGAACATACCTTCTGCATTTACGATGACGTATTCATGCATGCGCTCGTGCACGTATTGTCGTTTATGCGAACTGTATTCTACGAGTTAATTCGCCTAAAACCTTGCAATCAAGTAACAGGGAACCATATGGGAAGTAGTTAGGAGTCTTTCTGACAAACAAGATCCCCATCTACTTTGGGTGAGACTCCACCCGCGAGTCTACCCAGCCACCATACTTGCAACACAGCAAATAGTTTCAGATGCTAAACCCAGAAAACTAAGTGGCCCTAATTCCTCTGACTCCGAATGAGCCTCCGATAGCGATGAGTAGAACGAGTACAGAGAGGCTGCTACAATCTCTGGGCCATTCTAGGCTGCCTAAATTAGAACGGGCTAAAGCTATTACCTGTACCTACAGTTTTGGTACACTTGCATGTGAGTCCTCGTTAGAAGACTTGATTATTCAAACGAGAAGGATAAAGTGCGACGCCATTGGACTGGCTGAGACGAGAAGTCGCCACACATTCAATGCCGTCTATGACATCGGAGAAGAACTGTTCCTCGGAACATACCACGGTAGAGTCGGCAGCGTCAGCGTTCTTATCAACACGAGTTCGTTCATGAACATCGATTCATTCGAAAAACTAACAGCATGAATCGGGCGTTGACGGCTGTAGAGATGTAGATCTATACCGGCTTTGACAATACTCGTCGTTTACGCACCAACATTAACCTATAACGAGGATGAAGTCGAAAGGTTATGGACTTAGAAAAGTTCTACAAAGACCCAGAAGAACCTCTGAAGAACGTCATTTTAGAACTCACGGATCGAATGGAACGAGTAGGGTGAGAGGTTCTTTGAGTTTACTGGAATGGAGTAAATATCTCCAAATGTTCCAGTTATATCTATTTAGGTCGGGAAATCAATATGATGAACGACCTATCTCCTGAGCTGAGCAGGAGGAAACGAGCGGCTTGGGGACCTTTCAAGGGCATCGAGGATGTAGTGAAGAGAACAAAGAAGACCCGACTCCGTGCCCACCTTTCCGATTCCACGATTCTTCCTGCCTGAACATATGCTTAAGAAACCTGGTCGCTGCGTAAGCAGGATGGAAGATTACTCAGCGTTATTGAAGCAGTCGAAATGACGATGCTAAGAGTAACCCGTGTCACACAAGTGAGTGAATGGATCCGAAGCTCCGACTGGGTCAATGATCAAAAATCAAAGATGTTGTTCTATACACCAGAGTGTCGAAGATAAAATGGACCGAACACGTAATGCGTATGAATGACAGCCGATGGACAAATGCCATTCTGGCTGGATTCTTCGAATTGTCATACTTATTGCAGGAAGATCAACCCGATGATAATAGTTCCTCACGAAAACTCTTGAAGAAAGGTATGATTCTCAACGAGTCCCTAGAGCGAGCAGAACCCACTAAGCTGCTCCTGCGCACAACAGAGGAAATGGAAGAATTGCTGGCGGCAGCTCCAGTCCCTCGACGATCAACGGGTCTAGAAGTGATAGGTGATAGAAATGGTAATGGTGCGTGTAACGCAGCGGATAGAGGTGCCCAGCAATACCCATGGGATCGACCTCGCACTCCAGGGCCAGTGGCGTTCCGTCCGTTCGGATTTGGCAAATTGGTGCTGGATCTGTCTAGGAGGATAGCAGCACTAACTGAGTGCATTGGTAGGCCACCGAGAGTCAGCGTATGAACAAGGTATGCATTGAATCTCTTCTAACGATGATGGATTAGGTTGAACGCATGGCGCATCTGTTATTTATTAACCAACGCCCAAAGTTTTATCCTTTCTTTTATAGAAGTGGTTATTTTTTGTTTTACATGACTCGTCATCACAGCTAATGTGTGGATGGCAGCACTGCTTGCATTCGATTCGTTTTCTCTCATTCAACATCCACAATGGTCTTCGAACATTTCGCGTGCTGTTTCAGCTTCTGCTTAAGGATTTTATCTTATGAATGTCGTAGAATGCTGGTCGAGTCAATTCTCCTTGCAATCTTGGAGATGTCCGGCCCAAGGTGTTGTTACGCGGATCGGAGGAAATTGTGGGTGCGGGGATCGAGTTAGCGCCTTTGCTTTCTGGTGGACGGCATCACTAACCATTGGGGTATTCCCGTCCCGTTGACTTCAGTACCACATTGAAGTGCTGCTAATAAATTAAAATTGGATTTGTATATAGGCAATCACCTTTGATGTTTGTAAGAAATGCCTCTGAAAATGGTTTTGCTGGTGGTGCCGGAGAAAGCCAAAATGGGGTCCTTGAATTCTGATTAGTATAAATGAGGTCATTAAGTATCGGTGAACTGGTTTTTAATGAAAGCAACTGCAAAAAAATTGCAGTTTATGGATAAAATGCCATCTACTACATATTCCAGGGTCATGAGCATGTACTTTGTTAAAAACAATGTAGAATGGACATTAATAAGAATATTGATTCATTAATCGAAGAGATGAGAAAGTAGACTTTCCGTATAGAATGACATGCATAGGGGGAAATTTAGAAGGTGAATAATATTTTCTGGAATTTCAAAGAGAGTGAAAATGGAACAGATGAAGAAGGTCAAAGGTCAAAGTCTTCCAATACTGATGAGGTTTCAAATGGTATAGGCTCACTTTAATCTTGATTTTTTAAAATGAAGGAATGTTTTATGATTTTTTCTCCAAAAAGGAATGTTCTGTGATTTCTTCTTCAAAAGTAGGACTTGGTACTTGGGTGAGATAAATCGATAATAATGATAGTGACAATAATAATAGAAATGAAGATGTAATAATGCTGATGTAGATGCTTAGCCTTCTATAAATATTTGAAGCGCTAACTTTTTGACGTCTACTGTCCCGGCTTTTTTTCGCTGCATCATTGTTTTTTCGTCGTCTTTCCCAGTAAGCGTTGTCTTTAACCAACTCCTGAGGTGAAGAAGATCATCATGAAATGAATAGCAGATTGGACTAAATGAACTGCTCTTAACATTATCGTTTAGATCTAATTTGATCGATTACAAATCGATTGAATTCAAACCACCGGTTACATTAGCATTCGTCAAAGCAAACGATTAAATAGAAAGCATAAAATGAGTGTGCCTTTGATGATAATGCGAGAAGCTCGCCAACTTCCGATCGCCGATCGTGGCCAACCATTTGATAAAAAGCATTGGTGCACAGAGTTCATTCGGATTTTATTCCGAAAAAGCAAAAATTTTAACAGAACAACAAACTTTTTTCCTTTTTGAATGATTCTTTACGATGACATTATGACGAGGTGCATTTGGTGAGGCAGTTGAATCGCTGTCCGAACGTGAAGATGAGACCACCTGAACAGCGAGCGGACTTTTTAAAAGGAGTACTCAAGTAAGCTAGAGATCAAGAGGTACTTGTTCGTCTAGTTGAATAAAAGGTAAAGATAAAGCTCTCGGTGTTGGTCAATTCATGAGGGATGCACCATGCATTCGACTTCATTATGCATCGGTTGGAGGTCATTGAATGCATATCTGGCCTTTACAGCTACTGGCGGTACTCTCCCGATGAAAATCGAGCCAGTGCTGCTATCCACCCAGACAACCCTGGCACCAATTTGCTGACCCTGGAGTGATGGAAGGATTGGTGGGCCATGGGAGCAGGGATCAATCCCATATGTGTGTGTGTGTGTGTGTGTGTGTGTGTGTGTGTGTGTGTGTGTGTGTGTGTGTGTGTGTGTGTGTGTGTGTGTGTGTGTGTGTGT